ACCTTTCCTAAAAATCTATTGAAGGAATCATCTAAAAATACAGGTAGATAAATACAGGAGGGGAAAAAAACAAATACTAGATTTCTTTCCCTTAGCTTCAGCAAGATTAAACAGTCAATATATTTCATCTCTAAAATGTGTTGACACAGTTTAAGTAGAGGGGTTTACATATCATGTTAAGCAACAGATGGATGATATGTACAGCCTAACTGTTCAGCTCAGAATTTACTGAAGACTAAAAACTACATAATATGGTAGGAAAATGGAACAAGTCACAGGATTCTAGGAAGCCCGTAACTTTTACTTTATTTGACAATTACCAAGTTATCTGTGTGATGTCAACCAATAGCCAAAACTGGCTGTATGAAAAGAGCCAGTAACATCCTTTTGTGAATCTGTACATTCTATTTGTCAAACAAGAAAACCATCAGCCAAAACAATCTTAACTTGTCCAAATAAAATCATCCTGAATCAAAACTTTACTCTTCCTGATCCTTCTTTTAATCAACAAAACTTCCTCTGCCTGGAGACACAAACAAGTTGTGAGGCTAGCTAAGTTATAAACTTCCTAAATTCCTACAAATAAAACAGCAAGGTTGTGGTAGAACATGAGGTAATTCAAAGAAGCAGGGTAAGCTAGCTTACACTTACCACAGGACAGAGGTACACAAATGGCTGTTACTGTACTACAGCTGGAATACCTGACACTCATCCTGATGCTAACTGTTTTAACTTCTTATCAAGTCTATCTTTTCAGGGTAAGGAGGGAATATGCCAGAAATTTCTGCAGTAGAAAGGTCTCTACCAAGAATGCTGTGTAATTTGATGTGCCAGTTCAAGGACTTGATTCAAGAGCCTTAACTGATCTAAATTGTCAATGCAGACTTAAGGAAGAGAAATGGCATACTCTATAAAACCATTAACCAACATGAACAGTAACAAAGGAGAACCTGATCTATTGCTTGAACTGTAGATAAGACCTCCTCAGAAGCCTTAAGAGAGTATAAGAATTCTGAACCAATTAAACATTTAAACAAGCTGTACAATTTAGAAACACACAATTTGAATCGTGACACCAAATTGCCAGATGCACAAGAGAATTTAGTAAGACTTTCTATACAGAAACAGGAGTAGTTTTGTGATCACCTCGAAGCACTGCTTTGACTCTGACTTTCCCTACGTGCACATCTGATTCTACACTGGCCCCAAAATCACTTCAGCTCTTCTCCTCTTGCCACCTTCATACACATACCACCTACTACTTAAGAAATACCCATCTTTCTTTTTACCTTCCACTTCTGGAATGCCACTTAAAAATAGTCAACTTACTTTGGCCAAACTGAGAAGCATTTAAGATATTGTTAATTATACACCCTGGTTTTATACTTTTGCACTTCTCCTCAAATAAAGGGCATACAGCAGAAGGCATGCAACATTAAAACAGTCAATGAATAAATTTCATCAAAAGATGTATTCTTCCAAGGACATGATTTACAGGTAAGCACAGGAAACCTCCCACTTGTCTCCATTAGTAAAAAGCAGTTGTGTTAGCCCTGAAGACCATGTTCAGCATCTTGAATGAATCCAAATGTAATCTCCCCGCTGCCACTTTATTCCTCCTCTAGTCTCATTATTATAACTGATGTGCTTGATTTCTACACCTGGCTAACACATTTATCTGAAAAACTGCCATTCTACAAAGTTTTTACTTTTTCTGGATGCATAATTCTGGAATGCAGCGAGAAGAAAGGAAGTTTGGACTTCACAGAAAAGATGTTTTCCAGCTTTAGTTCACTTCCCAATAAACAAAGAGAACCAAAAAAAAGAAAAGAGCCCAACAAAAAACAAATTCGTTGAAGACACAGAAAGCCTTTTAAGAGCAGATGTACCTGAATGAGCAGTTTTAATAAACCTGGGTTAATAACCTTTTAGAAAGTAAAATCTGTGACAAAAAGATCTTAAAATTACCTCATTCGTAGTGGAACTTCTGTGAAGCCTATATCTAGTACAGTTTACAGAACTTACTGAACCATCATCTCCTATTAAGCAAGAGGATTGAGAGGACATAATTTCAAAGTAGACATCATAGCCAGAGGACAGATGCAGTTCAAACACAACAAACCTGCAAACCCTGCTTTCTCCACTTAGCAAGATTCATCCAATACAGTATAGAACAACAGCACCAACTACTCTTAGACATGTATTTGATAGGGAAACAAGGTAGAGAAGCAGCACTAACACACTGTAAGCTCTTGTACATAATCATTTGTACATAATCTGATTGGCACACTATCTTGTTTCATGCACAGGATCTTTGAGAATTAAAATTTATGACAAATTATTCACAATGGAGTAACTTTGGTGTCATCAGACAAATAAAATCACATGTATATGTGCACTGGTTCCTAAATGTACCATCACTATAGAAGTAAAAATATTATTTAATAATGCTAATAGGTTAAAATTATACCAATCAAATATATATAAAGAATGCTTCCAAACACAGCCAGTTTCTCTTTTCCATGATGACCTTCTATCCAGAAACCAAAAGAGAAATAAAAAAAAAAACAAACAAACATAGAAACTGTCCAGGTGTCAACATTTGCCTTGCCTTTTTTTTAAAACTGACTACTTCCCAATGCTTCTACTACAAACTGACTATTTCAATTTGACATTCATTTTAGAAGCATCTTCAAAAACATATCTTTAAATGATCATTCCTATGATTGCATCATAATGCTAACAAATAATGTATTTAGGTTAATGCAGGCATATTTGGAAGCAAATAAGCTAAAACCATTAACAACTTCTTTATTAAGTTACCAAGAATTAACACGATTAAGTGTGTTGAAGCACTGCTTTGCTTTTTGCTCAGATACCTAGTCATAGGGCTCAGCAAACAAGTACACCTTCAGTCAACTTTAAACTATGATACACATACAGATTAAACACTACCAGTAGATGAAAGAGGGTGCACTGAAATCACAAAAAGGTAGCTTTAACTTGGAATGGCATGAGTTGCTGAAATAATGCTTACAGTTTTTTTGTTTAAGCATTCTGACATACAGTCAGAATGCAGATTGTATAGGAAACACAGCTAAAAATTCGAACACAGGAAAAACATTTCTATTGTCCTCCTTTCCTCAAGCTTCAAACTCCATCAGTTAGGTAAAATAACACATTTGTCACCTTCTGAAATACAAATTTAGAGAGCCTGAAGTACTTATTGTGATTCAGTGCACTTCATTAGTATGATTTGCTTTAAAATCCCTCCTCTCTAATTGTGTCACAAGAATGACTCAAATAAAAAGACAGTAAATATGTTAACTGTACCTTCCTCAAAAACTGTCTGCTTCACAAGACATCCTTATATCACCACTGTTACCCTAACGCAGGGAAATGAAGCGGGTAACTGGAAAGAAGAAAGCAACGCTAACAACTAGATAAAATTACTAAAGACAATTTCTGCACAGTCATTCAAGCAGTAACAGCAGATATTCTGAAAAAGTGACACTGAAACTGGTTTTAATTTATTGCTAACTGTAAGCAAAACCTTACGTAGATGGAGATTTCATACAGCACAGGTATAACAAAATAGAACCTGTTTATATAATGCAACCACTTGTCAAATTTCCCTCACCATAGAAAATTCTTATTTCCTTTGCAACACAATGACTTCTGCACGTACAACAAATGGGATACTTAAAAAAGAAGCCACAGGCTCCATGATGAACAATTCTTCCAGGGGTTCTGGTAAGAATGCATCTACACGGAAAACGTTCTTTTACATACCTAGGAATTCAAACACCAAACACATTCATCAAAATCTGTACTTGTCACTAAAACAGCTCAAACAGTGTATTTTGCTCCTCTTGGAGCATTTTCTCTACATATATTCCCAATTGGACAGTCTTTACTTACTTTAAAAAAAAAAATTTCCTTAGATGTTAAGCAAACTTCAGACACCTTACCAAGCACAGGAGACTACCACAGTATACTGAACAGCTATAATCATTCCTAAAGATCTGGAAGGAAAATATGTATAAATCAAACATAACAGCAGTGACATTTACAAGAATGTAGACATTTCACTGCTTCTACCAACACTTTCACCAGCTATAAAACTATACTGCAACCATGCCTGCCTCAGAGCTCAGGTGCAGTCAGAAGAGCAGGGACTCAATCCTCCATTCATTTTGTTTCCCACTCCGCACTATCTCCTCTAAAAAAGAGGGGCCTCTGGAAAGAACATCATCTCTCTTATTTGAATAGATTTAAAGTTATAAAACACATGGCAAACACTAATGGCCACAAGCACTGTTATATTCCCTCCTTCCCAAAACAAGATGGTAGATTTTGCAAAGAATTTCCTGAAATACTCTTTTTAAAATATTAGGTAATAAAATCAAATATTAAAAACCTCTTCAGTTACCACCAAGAGTACAGATAAAGCAGACATTATTCCTTTTATTAAAACTGAACCACTGCAAATCAGGAATCCGTTAGGTTTCTGATACAGCTTCTCAGCACCAAACTAGCATTATCATCACCTTATGCTAACACCAAATAATATCTGAAAACGTGAATATTGTTTTGTTTCATTCCATCCCTTGTGAAAGCTCCAAGTCAACATCCATCACGGCTCCCACAGTTTTAAGAAATGGGGTGGGGAGGTCAAGCTCAAGCCAAGTTAACAGTCACTCTCTCTACCACAGGAGAAACTACATACTGCAGGACCCCGTGAATAAGTAATTACAATTAAATGAATGTTTTATGAAGGAAATGCACTTGGTTTTAAAGGTCACAAAGTGACAGATAAGAGCATACAGTGGAACAAATCCAACAAATTCCAGATTGACCTGCAGGGTCAATGAATCCAAGCAACGAATGTTTCTGCTCTTTAAATAATTAAAAATGTCAAAACACAATGGCTGCAGACAACAGTGTTAAGAATGCAGACAGACCCAATAATCTCCTTCATATTTAAATATTTCACTTACCTGTCCTGTGACTGCTCCTCATACATTCTTTCCTTTCCTTCTTTGAAGAGTCTTATAGCCCGTTTTGATTTTTTCATAAGACTGTCAATGTAGATTTTAAAATATTCGTTCTCACTGAGTTGTGCAAGTTTCTGGTTGTCATCATATTTGCTCAGTATAAGTCGCAAATGTTGGTAAGTGTCAGGTAGAATGTCAAGTATGTAAGGTGGGCTGTTTTTGAGTTGAAGCTTTGGGTTTTGGCACAATCTTACCTATAAGCAAAAACAGGAGAATGTAAAAGACAAGAAATATGTTGGGACAAAAACTGATCTGACATCTTCAAACTTATAGGTGTAACATACTTCTCTAATCTCCAGGCACACAGAAGTAAATCCTACTTCATTTATATTCCGTGAAATCCCAACATAGACTCTAATGTCAAAAGAGGCAAAATTGACTTAATTTTGTCACATGTATAAAAAGCAAACAAGCTTACCTTGGGGCTTTTCCCTTAAAGTAAGAATGTCTTTGCCTGCCTAATATATGCTAAGGAGCATATTATCAAAACACAGCATGCAACTAAAGCCAAGAGCAGTACTTTCATAGAGATCTGTTTGCTGCAAGCTAACTTACCTATGGATGTTTAAACATCTACCAAGAACTGACATTCTAAATTACTTAGTCATCTGATGGCTCTCTCTTTTCTTTATCCAACAAACAACTTAGAACCTACAGAAATTTAAACGCATTATTTTTCAGCTCCTGGTCGTACCAGAAGTTTGGTGATTTGATCTTGGCTGGATGCCTGGTGCCCACTAAAGCTTTTCTATTATTCCCCTTCTCAGTGTAAGAGGAGAGAGAATACGTCATGAAAGGTTCACGGGTCAAGATGAGGGCAGGGAGAGATCACTCACCAGTTACCGTCACAGGCAAAATAGACTCAACTTGGGGAACTGAATTTTACTACCAACCAAATCAGAGTAGGGTAGCAACTCCCTTCCTCCTGGGCTTAATTTTATCCTCTCGACCTCCTTCCCCCCAGTGATGCATGGGGATGGTGACTGGGGGCTGTGGTCAGTTCATCACAGGTTGTCTCTGCCACTCCTTTCTCTTCAGTCTCTGCCACTCACACTCCTCCCCTGATCTACCATGGGGCCCCTCCCACAGGAGACAGTCCTCCACAAACTTCTCCAACATGAGTCCTTCCTGCAAGTTGCAGTTCTTCATGAACTGCTCCAACGTGGGTCCCTTCCACAGCTTACTGTCCCCTCCAGGAACAGGTTGCTCCAGCATGCATCCCCTGCTGGGTCACAAGTCCTGCCAGCAAACCTGCTCTAGCATGGGCTTCTCTCTCCACGGGTCCACAGGTTCTGCCAGGAGCCTGCTCCAGTGTGGGTTTCCCACAATGTCACAGCCTCCTTCAAGCATCAACCTGCTCCATCCTGAAGTCCTCCACAAGCTGCAGGTGGATCTTTCCTCCACTGTGGACCTCCATGGGCTGCAGGGCACAGCTGCCTCACCATGGGCTGCACGGGAATCTCTGTTCTGGCACCTGGTGCACCTCTTCCCCCTCCTTCTGCACTGACCTTGGTGTTTCCAGACCCATTTCTCTCACATATTCTCACTGCTCTCTTCCCTGCCTGCAACAGACTTCTGCACAGTAACTTTTTTTCCAACCTTCTTAAACACCTTATCCCACAGGCTCTACCACCATCATTGATGGGGGTCAGCAGCAGCTCTGGCACTGGCTTTATCAGATGTGGGGGAAGCTTCTGGCAGCTTCTCACAGAAGCCACCCCACAGTCTCTCCGTTACTAAAACTTTGCCATGCAAACCAAATACAAGATCATCTTAATGGACTTGGAGTCCTCATGTTCCTAAATGGCACAAATATTAATTGATTAATATATATCTTACTTAAAGAATAAACTTCGATTACTTGAACAACTTTATTTCAATCTAGTCTCTACTGGAATTGTTTCTGGAAGAGAAAGGTTTTGTTTCCTGAACATCTACAAGGTTAAAATTGTCTCCTGGCTACTCAAATTCTCTTATAGTTTGTTCTGTAATGTTCTGTTCTAGAAAGCAAGAGAGATCAAAACTAACAGGTAGTTTTTCAGTGGTATTGCACTGAGCTGCCTATGATCAGCTAAAACACTGAAGAGGGACACATTCTAAACATGTGCGTGCAGCTGTACATATGCAAATACTTACAAAAAAATTAAGTCCATGTGGTATAAAAGTTTTATAGGCATCATTTGGAGATTGCCACATTATATATTAGTGACTTTGACATTCTTTTGAGGTAACTAACGAGGCTGTAAAAACATCTTAATACTGCTGAAACTAGATTCCTATTCTGACTAATGTATCAACTTCAAAAAAAGTGCAGTCTTGAGCAATTCTGGGGGAGGGGGAACAAACTTGTATTCTCTAACACTCACCTCTCTAAACTCAAAGCTTTATCACTATTGTTGATCCCTCTTGCAATTTCTAGATCTAACCATTAACAAATTTACTGCCTTCAGACTTTTGTCACTAGCAGACCTTCAGGCACCACAAACAGCAAAGCAAACACATCATAGTTTTTTACCCTCTGAAACATACACATAAAAACATAATCAGGCAAGCAGACTTAGGTAACTGGGGTCATAGTTAGAAAAGTGGAGATAGAATTCTGAATGGACAAAAGTCAAGCACTAACAAGTTTTTAAAAAGAAGCCCAGCACTACTGGAACTGCACAAACCCATAAGTACTGTAGAAATGCATTTTATCCAAAACAGTATTTAAGACATGACATTTGCAATAGCTCCCCTCATTTCACTGATCCATTGTTATTTTAGTAATTGCTATTATTCTTTCAACTATTAGACCAAGTAACACATCAGGAAGCCTTTTCACAGAGAAATTTACAATCTCAGTAGGAAAAAAATGACAGCCAAGGGGAAGCAGGCAAATATGAATACATCAGCATAACACTGTTGAACATGCTAGAGGGTAGTTCAGGGACTGAACACTAGCAGTTCAGTATTTCTAGATATAAACAGCAATGTTTCACAGTAAGGTCTCAAATAATTTTGTGGCTCATAAAAGAACTCCTCAGCTGAGGAAGAAGATAGAAGGAAGCAAAAAAGAGTAAAAGATTAAGATACCTAATCATCTCTTGACCTGGTAATAAAGTCTGGAACTGCAATCCATAAGTGCAAAGAGACTTTGAAAGTGAAAATAACTTGTTTATATTTCATGTGATAAAGATAAGGTCATCAGGATAAATAAAGGACAACAGGGTCCCAGCCGCGGTTTAGGACATGCCTGAAGTAGCATTCTCAAAGAATAAAGGTTGGACAGGATGGCATTCTTTCAAGGTCAGAAAAGCAAAGCTGAACTTACATAGAGAATAGCAAAGTCTGGATGGAATGAGAGATTTAGGTGAATGGATTGACCTGAAAGATTCAGACACAACTTCTAAAAGAGCAGTTCAAGTAAAGGAGTTGCACAAGTGAAGGCAGGATGATGGCGTCACCCCAGAAGATCAAGAAAGGAGCTAACAAGGGAAACTCACGGAAGGAGATTAAACATTTTTTTCTTGTTACACTGAAGTTAAGCTGACAGAATTCTTTAAAGAGATTTCAGACATCAGGCAAAGAACTTTGCATGTGTAGACAGACCTGAAAAATCATCCATGCAGAGACATACATGAATTTCTTTTTCTTTTGTAGAAGAGTAAGAAGAACTGGACTTTCAAACACAGAAGTGAAAACCTTTATGAAAAGCATAGATGTTTTCCCTCTGAACTTCTGTTCTCTGCAATTTCTGATTTAGTCAAAACTTGAAATCAGACTGACATTCTTCACAAAGCCAACTAGAGGTGACACAAATCTGTATCACTGATTAGGCCTTACAACTTTATGAAGCAACAAACACGGGGGAAAAAAATAGCTGAAAGATGGTGACGTTTGTTCAGAGGAAAAAGTCAGCAATGAAAGCAGACTGCAAGCAAAGAAGGCTGCAAACATTTTGAATTACTTATTTTCTAACTTAAAATTCATGAAAAAAGAATTAATTATCTTCCTGAAGTCTATCTTTTCAACCAGATGTGCCAAGAAGCAAAATATAAGTGGTTTCATATATTAGAAATAACATTAAAATATAAAAACAACAGGAAAAGCAAATTGCTTAAGCTGATGGCTGAATTTTCAACAGTCAGTCCATTCAACTATACAAAAAGATTATCCAGTTATAAGGAAAAACTAAAAAAAAAAATTAAAGAAATAAGTTTCTCTTTCAGAAGTTGTAGAAAGTCTTCAGTCCAGTGTCATTACATACAGCCATATACACATCAAAATTGGATTCTGTGGTCAAGACGGTTTACGAGGCTTCACCTTCTGATGAATTTACAGAGAAAAATACAGCACTACCAGAACCTTCAATTTCAGAATAAGCTTTTAAGAAAGTCATGCAAAAAAATCTTCTGCACCTCAATTAGCCTTATACACTCTAATTGAAAAAAATGCTAACATTAAGTTCAAGTCAGTGATCCAGTGAAGTAGCACAAGGCTTTCTTTACTTTATAGAGTACACAAGGTTTCAGTTGAAAGGAAGTAATATTGTAAAGAAATGGCTGCTAAACCATATGGTTTCCAGAATGAGGATGTCCTGACACATACCACAGCAGTTCACAATTAAAAGTAAGCAATAAGAAATAACACCTGCTGATGCAAAAGATTTACCAAGATCTTTCTTCAAAAGAAAACAGAACTCAAAACAAAACAAACAACCAAAAAAACACTCCAAAAATAAAGACCTCTATATTGCACTTTACAAAGCAACTCTTACCAACACCTTAGGAGCGGACATGAATCATATCACTGTGTGATTTTTGTATTGTTTTGACTGGAAGTAAGCATGTACATATTTAGCAAGTAGTGTAAAAAATTAAAAGCAGTCAGTCAACAAGTTAGTAAGAAATGTCTCTCTTGTTGAGGTAAACTGAGACAAAACTAAGCTCCTTCCACTACCCCACTCAGGGAAAATCCAAGTACTTAATCCAGAATCACAGAAACAAGAGAGTACAATTCTGATTGTGAAAAACCGAGGCATTATCCTAATCTACCAGAAACTGATTTTGAAACAGTTAACTCTGGAACTTCTAGACAAGCTTACTCTAGTTCCTTTGTAGAAAAAAAATCAGCCCCCTTTTCCCTCCTCTCTTCCTCCACCATTTTTGAATATGTTTGACTCAAATTACAAAGCATTATTTCATAGCATGGT